GTAGAAGTCTATTGGTCTACACTTTGCATCTATCTTTTCTTATATTGCTTTATATCATCACTTAAGCTTAGTCTCTTTTATTTCCGCTTACGCGCGCGCGCTTTCCCGCGCTTCGCGCTAATACGCGCGCGCGTTCCCGCGCCTTCGTACCTTGCGCGCACTTGCGCTTTCTCACGCTTCGCTGAAGCGCGTACCTCTAGATCTTCGCAGCACTCGCTTCCCCTAGGGTCGAACGCACTTGTCTCCTCAAGAATAGCAGACTAGGTAACGCGCGACCTCACAACATTTTATAGATACAGTTAGGAGCATCCTTGTTCCTCATTGTATTGTTGTTTCTACACCGGGAGAATCCACAAAGTCCTCAGAGGGAGGACGCGATTCTTCCTCTAAGCGAGATCCTTGCCAAAAATGGAACAATGGAGAGTGCACACGCAGTGCTTCCAGTTGCCGGTATGCACACATATGCAACATCGAACAAGACGGGCGTATGTGTGGCTGCCGCCACGTCAGAACCAAACACGCCGAAGAAACCAAATCCAAATCGTCCTGATCAATTCCTCGCGCGCCTGCGTCATCGTCGAGGCCTAATTTGGTCTTCGACAGACGCATTGTTCAGCCCAACAGCGCGTTCAACAGAGTATGCAGAGCCAGTCCCATCAGCACCTCTTTCTCTCACAGATACTGATGTGTCTCATACCGTTGCCAATCATCCTGAACTCTTTCGAATAGTTACGCCAATCAAAGTCGACCATTTTGAGTACCTCCTTATGAATCATCCAAATCAACCTTTCGTCCAGTCTGTGTGTCGTGCCCTACATGAAGGGTTTTGGCTGTGGGTGGACACTTCAGATGGGAACTATCCATCTATCAACTGACAATTCAATGCAGACATGCTCAAAGTCCATAGAACAGGAGAAGTTTATTGAAGATCAACTCAACGAAGAAATACGGCTAGGGCGTGTGTCCGAAAGCTTCGGTACTCAATTGTTCCCTGGGATGTATAGCGTCCTGATGCACACAGTCCCAAAACCAAATTCAGACAAGTTGCGTCTGGTCATAGATCATACAGCCAGGGAGTACTCGCTTAACTCTATGATTGACTCGGATGACATTAAAGGCACGAAATTGGATGGCTTACATTCACTCGGTGCTTCTCTTTTGGAGTTTAGAAAGGACCACCCAGACAAAGAACTACTTCTCTTCAAATCGGACGTGTCCCAGGCATTTCACAGACTACCTATGCATCCACTGTGGCAAGCCAAGCAAGTGCTAACCTTTCGTGGTCAACGTCACGTCGATCGTTGTAACAATTTCGGTGGACGCGGCTCTCCCAAAGTCTGGGTATCATTCATGTCACTCGTGGCATGGATTTCCATTCATCACACTCTCATCGAAGCCCTGAAACTGTATATGGATGACTCCTTCTCCTTCGAAGTAGCGAGTCGCATGCTCCACTATGAGCCTTATCAACACGACTTCCCAGAAAAGCAGACTCGTTTGCTGCAACTATGGGACGAGATCGGTGTTCCTCACGATCAACCCAAACAACTATTTGGCTCACCGCTGACAGTCATCGGTTTCGACGTGGACCCAAATGCTATGACAGCGACGTTGCCAGCTCACAAGAAGGAGGAATTGATCAAACACTTACGCTGTTTCGCTCGCAAGAACTTCCGTTGGACCCTGCGAGAGTATCAGCAGCTTGCAGGGTGGTGTGAGTGGAGCTTCAACATCTTCCCCCTACTGAAGCCCAGGTTGTCGGCCGTGTATGAGAAGATCCGGGGCAAGAAACAGCCTTTAGCACGTCTTCACTGTGAATAATGGCATAATCACGGAACTGTCCTGGATGGCCCACCATTTGGATCACCTCGAAGGCTTATTTTTCTACAAATCTCTAGATTTCAATCCTCTAGCAGACGATGTGGTGGTAGCTTACACTGACACATCTAGTCTTGGTTTGGGACTTTGGTTTCCCCATGAAAACTTTGCAGGGCAATGTGAACTACCTGCAGGCCATCCAAAGGACACAATCTACTTCTTCGAAGCCCTCGCTGTCTGCTCGGCCATCCATTTCATCCCCAACATGATGGAAATTCCGCCAAGAATGCTGATTTACACCAACAACAGCAACACTGTCGCAATGTTCAACTCGCTTCATGCTCATCCACCCTATAATCCCATCCTGCTCGCAGCTGTCGACGTCCTTTTACAATTCAAAGTGGATTTGCAGGTGGAGTTCGTCCCTGGACATAATAACGGAGTGGCCGACGCACTTTCTCGCTTCCAGAACGAACGTGTACTAACATTGGCACCTGATGCTAGCTTTTTCGACTTTGAACCCCCTTGGAATGCGCTGGGGGCGTCGAAAAAATGATGAAGGTGTCTGCATCGTCCAAGCAGCCCAAACGGGAGGCTTGGACACACGAGCGTCTCTTATACGAGCGCTCAGTTGCCCTTGGTTTTGCAATTGAGGCCACCACGGCCTCAGTCTATGATTCACACCTAAACTCATATATCACTTTCTGTCGGCTTCACCATCTTCCTGTCAACCCAATGGTCGACACATTATCTTTCTACGTCGTCTGGCTCTCGCATCATATCGAACCTCGCTCAGTGGACTCATACCTATCGGGTATTGCGAGTCGCCTCGAGGAAACTTATCCGGATGTTCGTAAAGCACGGTGTTCATCAATGGTTGCACGCACACTACGGGGTTGCAAATGGAGAATGTCGAGTCCGGTACAGAGGAACTTACCTTTGTGCGTGGATGACTTGGAGCAAGTATGAACAGCTTTTGGGTCAACTCCGGCGTATGACTGAAAGTCTCTTCCTCGCGCTACTCTTCACAGGGTTCTTGACTCTACAACGGCTAGGGGAGTTAACTGTGGCCTGATGCTGTGCAACATCAATCATATCGAAAAGTGCCTATGCAGCACACGCTCACCATAACCTCAACCTCCATATCTTACACCTTGCCCTACCAGAAAAATGATACTCTGGGAATGGGTACCACAATCCTCATCCTTGCGAACTCGTTGACAGTGCTTGACCCACTCCCGGTACTAAAATATTATTTGGCGAGGCAAGATGGTGCTTTCCCTTTCCATCCTGCACTGTGGTTGACAAGCGCAGGATCAGTCCCGACTCATGCATGGTTCTTACGTCGGCTAAAGGTACACTGCGGTTCTCGTATGTCTGGGCACTCCATGAGGGCTGGAGGTGCGACTGCATTAGCCATCACAGGAATGACACCTGACTTGATTCAGAGCGCAGGACGATGGTCATCTGAGGAGTTCAGGAAGTACATCCATCAACATCCTTTTTTGCTTAACGCACTTCTCCATGGCGCTGTAGAAACAACAATACAGAGAGGAACAAATAATGCTCCTAGCTGTATCTATAATAGTTGAAGGTCGTGCGTTGCCTAGCCTGCATTACTTGAGGAGACAAGTGCAGTTCGACCCTAAAGGGGAAGCGAGTGCAGCCAAGATCTAGAGGTACGCACTTCAGCGAAGCGCTGAGAAAGCGCAGGTGCGCGCAAGGCGCGGGAACACGCGCGCGTATTAGCGCGAAGCGCGGGAAAGCAGCGCGCGCGTATGCGGAAAATGATAAAGACTAGACTCAAGTGATAATATAATGCAAGAAAAGAGAAGGGAGATGCGAAGTATAGACAAATAGACTTCTACTATATTCTGCTAAGTAGTAAGTAAGTGATAACTAGTAATTGGGAGGTAAAAGTTCCTCTCTAATAGTATGTACTGCTGGCGCTTATATAGCGCGCCTAAGCGCGGTCATGCGGAGCCGAAGCGCTACCAAGTAGGTATGTAAAGATATATATGAGTGAGAATCCATGATAAAAATAAAGGTGGAACTATGCTAATAAAGGAAATGGAAATATACGTACTAGGGAGCTTGGTGGACAGTGGATGGATGCTTCTGGATGGCTGGTGCCATAGGGCGCGCAAGCACAGGAATGCGCGCACGTATACATCGCGAAGCGCGGGAATGGTGCGCGCATGGCGCGCGTTGCGCGGGAAAGCTGCGCGTCATATAGAGATAGCTGTGGGTAGTGCACAGAGTGACACTACAAGTTCATGCTATGTACTTCCTAGTGTAAAGCGCCATATCAGACCATGAGACGCACGAGTCTCTACAGCGCGTCACACACACCTGCTCAATTGGTCATGTCACATGTGGCATGTTCATCGTGAATGAACAGTTTCTTTGGCTTGCGACTTCAACAAAAAAAAAAAAAAAGGCATCAAGACCACAAAACAGAAGACAACATTAAAATAATAATAATAAGCCTTTTAGCATCTTTGATCGTGCCTTCGTCACTTACATCGTTTTCTTTTCGAGTGCGTCTCCTCGACCCTCGTATCCACTTCGCATTGTGCTACCATGTCCTGTAGTCTCGGTCTCTTGATCTGCAATCAAATTTTCACGAGTCTCCCCGAGCATGAAGCTGGGGGACTCCACTTGCCTAATCCTGTGAGACCTCAGTGTAAAATCGATTCAATCTATTATAATATTCATCAAAATGTGTAATAAAATGCTGACTGTTATATAATAATGGGTTATAATTGGCCTAGTCGTTAGGCCATTTTAATGGATTAAAATGCCATATAAAAACTTCCGACAAAAACAGCGTAAAAGTATCTCACACTAAAATTGAAAATTCCAAAAACAACCTGATACGTCTGGGCAACGGTAGACGGTCCAAGAATCATGCTTGTTGTACTTGTGACAACTTGTGCCTCTTTCCGTTCTTGTGTGTCACTCACTTCCTTTTTGTACTTGGGAAATTCAGGGCGCAAGTTGATAAAGTGAGATCAGTGAAATTAAAGTGGGAATAAGTTTTAATTTGCGAATAGTGTCGTGGGCAGAAGTAAATTAGCCTCTCGGCAGTTGGCAGAATGGCAGAAGTCGGCAAAATGTATTGTGAGTGTTTTTAGCTCTTTTCAGCTATGTTTATACTATGGCAAAAATAGTTTCAACTACTACATCGAGGCTATGCCTTCTGACATCAAAAGTGCATCAACATTCCACCCTGATACATCGTTTGAGCTTCGATTGAGTACCTCAGTCTCTTTAACGAAGCCAGTTGGTGTGATACCTTTGTTAACCCTTTCTAGCTCACTCCAGTCAACGAGGCCGCCATCCAGAACATCCGGCACATCACCTGCAAACAAACTACCGCTTGCCTCATCATTTTCTCACGCTTGGCCAGCCTCCCGCGTCTCGCGCTCGAATCTTTCAAATTCATCCACCAACTCCTCATCTGTAATTGATTCCGGACCCGCAAGATAATCCTGGTCATCAGAGTCTGTTGCGAGGGGAGGGATCCATGCAAATGATCTTTGTAGCTCGTCAGCGAGAGCAATGTCGAGTCCGTTTTTTTGTAGCAAGGTAGCCACGAACTTCTGCGCGAGTACGATCAGGGGCATTGGGACATGTTTTTTGGTCAATTAAATGTTTGAGATGGTCATCGTCACGGCCCTCAATGGATGCCGAGCAGTAGTTGCATGTGAAGAAGTAGCGGTTTGAGTTGTTTTTGACTTTCTCCCCAATAACAGAGTGGTCAGACACAAGTTTTCGGACGGGACAGCCCTTGGACTTTGAGGTCATGGTAACAACCACCAAGATACATTCTAAGTTTTCTAACATATGTCAAATTTTTACTGTTTGTTAGTCGGAACAAATACTAGGTCATAATATTTCTGCCGACTTCTGCCAACCACCTTCGACCTACTGCCGGCAATTGCCACCAGCAGAATGGCAGCATTCTGCCAACAACACTATTTGCGAAGCAAGTGAGATTAAGGAATGTGTGAATTTACTGATGAGAATCTTGCCCTAAAGGTGATTTCATCGTTTGTCATTCAGCTAGTGTTGACGTGGTATATATGACTTTCCAGGTCGTGTCGTTCGTGTTATTCTGGTGGCGGTTGTTTGTGATAAGCCCGCGGCACACAAGATTAGGGGAATTCACAGTTGCGTTGTTTAAGCGTTTTTCGCCCGTTGTTCAGAAAAGTTTTGAGGCCTGAAAAACACTGAAAAACGTTGGTCAACTGTGATAACCCTGTTGTTCGTGCGCTGGTCAGCAAATTTGTTGCATCTCTTGAAAGGGTTGCCGAGTCTGCCGACATGGCAACAAACATTATGTAATCCATGCAGGTGGCTGCGATAACAGAGTTAGATATACTAGTACCATCTCGCCATGCCTCGCAACACACCTCGAGGACAAGCCATTCAGGCTGTATATGATGCTTATGTCTTAAATCTTATCACTCAAACTCAGTCGACAAGTTTCGCAGCCAGAATTTTGCTGGGCGAAGGTGGCGGAGAATCAGTGTCCTTCCCGCGCCCTGATTGAGTGCGGATGGGCGGCATAACCTTGAAGCGCGTCGCTGCAGCACTCAACTAGAACGAGCAGTTCAATTGGGGATTGAGTGGAATTCAGACTCCGACGGAGCACGCCGAAGCCACAATTTCTAAACCGTTGGCCACCAAGGTGACCAACAGAGGTGAACAACAAAGCGACAAATTCGGCGAAAAATGCCTCAACAACGCAACTGTGAATTCCCCTATTGGTTGTTTCGCATCCCGTTCACATACGACTTGCTGGAAAACATCTAGTCACAATTTGTGAACAGTGGAGTGCAGCCGACGTGGGACTCGGGAGCGGGATTAAACGCTTCAATATGTTATCAGATGCGTTAGATTCTGCAACCAATGCCACGTCACTGCATGCACAGCTAAATTGGCTCCATCAGAAGTCAATAATGCAAGGGTAGCAGAGGTGGGCGCGACCCACAGGTCCCGAAGCCCATCTACGCTGATTCTACACGTGAACTGGACGTCTTAGGGGACTGATACCCCTCCGGTGGACTTCCGTGACACCGTGATGAAATACCGTGCAATCGGCAGTTCGCAACTTCACCTGCTTTCGGTTACATAGCGATCAAGATGTCGCGAAGCTCAAGACCGGGAAATTCGTTTACCCATTCTCCTGACACGAACAATCAATAACTCGATGCCAGCAACCGGATGGTAATCTTGAACAGCCTGGTTCCGTTTTTCGCACAGCCCTGGCGAATGATCCTGTGATGTGAAATTCTGCATACTTACTCATGATGCTGGCGTGAATGCTGAGTCTGAACTTGGAGATTATTTCTTGACAAACAGATGTGCGTGAGCAACAGAACGACAAACACACCTGCACTTTAGCTTGACGCTAGTTATACACTCGCACCTTTCGACGGTAAGAGTCAACTCACCGACCGTAGATCCAACTTATGACACTGATGGTCTAGATGAACTTCTTGACAACTATTCTTCTGGCATTAACAATTGTCAGCCCTCTCAGTGTGCGGGCCACATCCGACTCAGAAAATCTCAACATATTGTGCAATTGGGCTCCGTGCGGATATTTGTGTGGGGGAGTTACCCAGTTCACTGGAAGTTGCATCTCGGAAGACGGCACTCCAGGAGTACAGCGCTGTTGTGAAAATGTGGTGTAGTGGTGTGGTGTAGTGATGTGGGAGAAGCATTGTGATGCAAACGAGGGGTCTAGGGACGTCAGCGATAAAACGCTTTGTCAGAATACGTCCTAGGAGCCAAGTAGATTGCGTCCTTCCGTCCAGGGTCTAAAAGAACAGGTTATTCCATGATACAGGCAATGAGCGTAAATAATATATTGTCAGAATAACAAGAGATTCAACTGACCGGGCTATCTTATGGCGCTGGAACTTACATTTCGCGATATTGTGGAGACTCGAAGGCCACCTCAAATTGAAGATATCAAGTTTCAGAGTCACGGTTGGTGCGTCAACCACCTACTCCAATATATTTTTACTCGATTTTAGCTTGCCCTCCTCTTCAGCTTGCCCCGCGGTGAGTTTGGCTCGTGTGAATTGTTTGCTAACTCACTTATGCACGAACTTGAATGGTTCAAAGGCCAAAGTGCGTCAAAAAAGTCTCGTCGATCTCTTGCAGGTTGACTGCAGAGTGTGTATTTATATTTTCTCGGTACTGGAGGTAACGACACCCTTACCTGTGTAATATTGTGCATCCGCAACTGGAAGCGCAATGCGGAGTGGTGCGAAAGAGACACGCTCAAGCACCTGGCAGACTGTATCGGAGTTATCTAGTCCAGTGGAGTGCAGGAACTGTGAACTCGTTCCCCACAATCCAAAAAGCCTGCACAGCATGCAGCTGAAGGTACACGGTAGCAGCAAGGCGACATATTAACTTGTTATTTGGATCACTCCAATGGCGGCTAAGGAGGAATTGGGAAGCCTGATCTATTAATATGAAGTTACTTGCAACTTGGTCGGTTACCGGAGCCGGGAGCAGCCAAAAATTCCTATACGTAAATGAGAAGCAGAATTCGAAGTGATTGCAATCCGGTTGTAAGGTATATGTAGTCACTGACACTATGAAGGATAATGCACAAGGTATAGTATATCATACAGGATGATGGAAACAGATACTCACTATACAAATTTGTCACAATACGAAGTGTCTTGATTGTTCGTTGATATACCTTCAGTCATCAAATTCATCCACGCCGAACCCGCTCAAGTCCATTGCCATCACGGCCTCCGTTTCATCAAAATCCATCGCATCCGTGGGTGGCAGCTCTACAGCGTCAGCCTGTCGTGCATCCTCATCCAAAAACTCCAAGCACGTCTCTATGCACCCTCTCCATCGCAGCGGAACTGCTCCGCCCACGTCTACACTAGCAATGCGACGCTCCCATGTGAATCGCTCCGCAGCGTGCTTCACGAAGAATCGGCCCTTGTGCTCCGGGTTTGCACACCCGCCCGAGCCCTGCGACGGCCTCCTACCATGCTTTCGAGGAATACCATTGGACTTGAAAACACTAGGCACATTCTCCGTCAACACCTCGCATACATTTTCTGGCACGTTCCAAATGCTGGAAAGAGGGACCCCATAATATTCGCTGAGCACAGTTCGAGAGTTTTCGCCTTTCAGTGAACAAAGCAACTTCCGGTAACAGATCTCAGTCAGTGGAGGTACGCCCGGAAGAAACGTCGTCAAGGGAGATACTGTGCTTGCTCTCGATGAATTCATCGAGATCTCCCCGTATTGTGGGGCTATGCGAGCCATGGGCCGCCGCTGAGACAGAATGTCGCGAGAGGCGAGTTCGGCTAAAAAGGGATTTGGGTTGAGTTGTAACTTCAAGAGTTTCATATCTCGCATCTCCGATGGAATGTATGACAAGCGGTTCTGCGAGATATTCAACTCCTTCAAGTTGATCAAACGACATATCTCCGGGGGAATATATGTCAACTGGTTCCCGCCTATGACTTGGTAAATATAATTAAAAACATGAGACACGAAGAAACGCACGCAGACTCAATACAGTTAGATTTTCTAACTTGAAAAGCTCGGGAGGAAGATCGCGGATGCTGTTTCCAAAGAGGTAGAGTTGCAGCATATGACGTTCCTTGCCCGAGTCTATGATGGACTTTGTCCGTTCAAATGAACGCACTCGGGACTCGAAAGCTGGCTCGGTTTTGATGCGTAACATACTCCGTCCAGAGAATAGACTTTGCTCGGATAATTCTGTCGTGTTGAAAAAACCTGCGAGATCTGCGACTGACGCTGGAATTGTCTTCAACGATAGATTACTGTAGGGCGAGATAAAACACGTCAAAAGAGTCAGGTCGACGAAGCTGGGAAATACGGCACCTCAGGTCTATGTGCCCGTTACCTGTATCGAAGGGTTTACGCAGCGCGTCGTCCCATAATCGCTCATCGCGATCAATGTAATGCGATGTGCTCGAGTCTAGAGAAAAGAGACTTGACGTTTCGTCGTGCAAGTAATCTTTTTCTCCCAGCGAGCGAGAATAGACTGAGTTGCGAGACAATGATTTCGGAGTGAATGCGGGAGGTGTACTCGGAGGAGTATCTGCCTTCTTTTCCCGCTGTGGAGGGCGTTTGTTGGCTTTTGTTGAGGCCGCGAATGGATGAGAGAAACCTATACGCGTTTGTGGTGGAGAGTCTAAGATATACGACTCATGCTGAGGACTCGAGGGCGGAGATGAGTCTAAGGGTGCTAACAACGGCGACGACGACGGGGATGAATCTCGAGATGACGATGAGCTCAACTCAAAGTCCATGTCATAGTCTGTCATTTTCAGGCTCACTTAATGCGGGGAAATAGATGGTCGTGTGCAAGTTGTGTGTCACCTACTGTCAGCTTTGTTGATTGTGTCTACCTTTTATAGGCACGCGTTTCAGGGCTGCAATAAACAGACTACCAAATATTAGTGTACTGCTTGAGATATCCCACGCATCCAAGTTGATCCAACATTTCTTGGAGAGACGGCACGAGCCTCGCGAGTCCATGCGCGACTGTTACGAAGACACACAACTTGGCTGTAGCAACACTTTTGATCAAAAGACACTCTCACCTACTAGGCATGGTAGCAATCCAAATATTCAAGGTCACCGTGACCGTAACATCCTCAGGCCTGCCAGTGCACATCCAGCGTATATCAACTACTTGCAAAGGGTCCACAGCTAATCTTGATCAATGATAACCCTGAAAAAAGGGGCGCCGCGATCCTGCCGTTTCTTGAACTTCTTCGTCTCTCCATCAGGCTGCCACCAGCGCCGATTCAGCGCTAGACTGGTCGTGGCCTTGGGGTACAAGGGGAAGAACTGTAACTTCAGCATGGCTGAATGTCCTAACTCCTGTCCTCAAAATCTTCAACCTAGACTTGCAATTTGGGTCGGGACAAGCAACCTCGGCATCCGTGCTCATCCAATCATTTGGATGAGTGACTCGCTGCTTAGCTGCTAGAAGCGGCAAAACAGCACCTAATTCCAGTACGTACGGTGAGCAACGGTAATAAATATCTGAAAGAAAAGGATGCTTACTGAGCGAGTAAATGGAGAATGCTTGTCCAGGAGGTAGATGAAGCATTTCTCCTTCGAGGACAAAGTGGTCGCCCTCTTTCGCTCCACATAGTATTCGTTCCCCTGGCGGGCATATGACCTCGACACGGAGATCATAGAGCTGGAACGTATCAGCTGGCGGGGATGACCCAAGGCTACCCATTTGGCGGAAGCGTTCAGACCAAAGAATGAGTCAAACGGATGCAATGTAGTGGGGCGCTCGATGCAGATCGGTTTCGTGGTAACTTAACAGCAACGACCGTATGACTATGTAAAATGTCCGTATTAACATAATTAGAACCCCAGTACTTTGTAATGAATGTATAATCATGTCAGAATGTCTGTATCAGCCAAAATTATCAGAACAAAAGAGCTATCGATGTAGAAGCCAGCCAGAAACAGAGCAATATACTGAAAGGACCGCTTGACACGGCACCTAACATAGCACTTGATGCAACACCAGTGTTTGTAGCAGCCGTCACAGCGCCGATTGTCGGGGATGGTATAGCAGCTTTGACACCATTCTGAGCGATAGCAGTCTCTGATAACGCAGCAAAACCAACAGAGGCAGGACTATACTTGAAAACAGAGTAAACGTTTTTCTGTGCATCAATCAGACGCTGTTCAGAGAACATAGATTAGTGATGGAAACTCACAAGGAATGCGTCACCAATAACCCATGAAGGACCCCCTTGGCCGATTGAGGAGATGAAAAAAGCTCCAATGCACTCCGTGGTGCTGACCTGGGAGTGCGTGAAGTCCGCGGAGCTCATAGACCAAGTGTTACCACCAAAGTTGAACTGTACATTCACCGTCGTGCTGCAGGCTGGCGTTGTCCTGTCAGCCAACAAACTGAATGACAGCATTGACACTTACGATAAGTATAATATCCCGCTAATTGGCCCGTTCCTGCTTGTGATCCAGGGATCTGTGCGTAGATGCTCGCAACGGCACTGGCGGGACCTGCAATGTTTGTGGTTCCGGTGTCGATGATAGCAGTTGAGATCCCTGCAATGTCAATGGACTTTCCCTGTACAGTCAACGCTACGTTATGAAACACGTCAGCTAGCTGTAATATACATATAGTGGATTAAATTTACTGGTCATGTTAATCTCCCAGTATTGCGGTGCTCCAATAAGGTTGTGATATTCAATTGATCCCGTGTAGAGACTGCTGTTGGTGTAACCTGCCAAAGGGTCACGTTAAACTTGAGAGTATCAACGCGGGAAAAAGACACCTGCCCATGTCAATAACTCCTCCTGGCTCGTTTTGAGCTGCACCAGACACATTGCCATAGCTTACCAGCCACGGGTCAGGAAAACGAAAACATAGCAAAATCAGTCCGTCGCACATACCGTGTGAGCTGCACTCCGAATAATGCAGAATCCCAACTTCCATCACTAGCCAGAGTTTGCCAGAAGGGCGTCTGTTGCGTGGAAGAAAGTGAACTCCAAGCAAGACCCATTATCCCCGATACAGGGTTCGTGTTAAAGTTTGACGAAAGAGCATTGACAACACCTGACAAGTTTTTTCATGGGTATGTCAAGTATTTGGTGTACATGATAACGTACCAAAGCCTTGTTTTGCTACAGAGAAACCAGCCATCTGAACAGTCTCCTCAGCGACATAACCAGCCACTGCGCCCGAGCCATATTGAATCTCAAACGGTGTTGAAAGATTTTGGAAAGTAGAGGATTTCGTGGGATCATATGTAGGACTGGTTCCGCAGCTTACTCCACAAGTAGAACTAGTCAGCCAGAGATCACTAGAGATATTTGTTCTAAGCAAATTGCACTGAGAAATTCACCATTGCACTCACGATGAACCAGTGTCAAGGATCACATCATAGGATACTGGCGGCGTCCCGATCGCTATGGTCCCGTAGTAGCTATTGAGAATGCCTGATTAGTAAAAGCGTCTTGAATGATGGAGCTCTCTACGTACCCTGTATCAGTTCCCTGATTGACGATGCTGTATGTGCGGCGTTGAGAATGAAACATTCGGGATATGAAAGACTTTACATACAGGTTATACCCAGTACCCCTCTGCTGAAGCGACCGATCGCCGTACTTCACAGCAAGTATATCTCTTTGGTTTTTTGCTCGCTGAGCCACCAGCGTAAAATTCTGTGATAAAGGGTTGAACCTGCGGATAGGTATACTCCGCCCTACGACAGCTGTTGATGTTGTTGGTGCCCCTGATGCATCTTGGGACAGCAGAAGGAATAAAAGGGTCGTGAGGCCAGCTGGAGCAAACATAACACTCTAGAAAGCGAATTTACAAATCAATCAATTAAAACGGCAGACTGCCCTGCAGTCTAAGGGAGAAAAGAAGTATTAATGACCCGAGCCCGCGAGTTGATAGCGGAAGAAAAAAGGATGAGAAACGATGGACCTGCGCTGCGGCGCAGCTCCCTTTTGAGCGTTATAACAAGTTTCATCAGTTCCAATCAGTGCTTGTGACCCGCATGAGCGTTTCGAAGGACACGGGTTCGGTTGCTCAGAGAACAGCCACGAGCAGAATAGTCGTCGTGAAGAGCCCAACTGTCGTGAACGTTTAGTTGTGATCCTGGCTATATCTACCAGTCAAATGGCACTCGGATTCAGCACACAAGACCAAAGAGGCTGGCTTTGGCTGAGCCCTTCATCGCATCATGGTAAGTGAGGAATTTCAACATGTTGTCCGACAATGCGATGATTGATGATAGTACTAGTAAGGGCGACATGGTGTGTATACGTAAGCACCAACAAAAATGGAATTATCAATTAGCTAGTCATGCACCAGGTCTTCCTTCGAAGAGGCTCACAACAAAGTAATCAGAGCCCGATGCAATCATAAAGTATCACAGTAAGTGTAGGTAGAACTGTTGGATCTAGTTGGCATGAAGCGCTTCCCTCCACTTACTCGGTTGCGAGCCCCTCTTAGTGTCAGAGAAGATGGGAACTCCCCGGGCCCGCTTGTCAGCCAGCTCCTCCTTCACTTCCTCAACTTCTCGCAGCATTCTTGAACGACTCCTGGCGACTGCCTTGAGAATCTTATCCCTCCGCAGATGACCAGTGAAGCGCCAGTTCTTGCTCCCCGACAAGGACGTCCGCACCAGTTCATGTCTCCTCCATCTCTTCAATGCATCCAGTGCAAACTTCTCGTTCAACCATTCCATCCGTTTCTTTCTGTCCTCTGCAGTCATGTCTTCCATTGCTTGAGGATAGTAGAATGGGTTTACAAGACCGACGACGGCACGTTTGTATGTTCGGTATGATCGTGTTGTCTTTGCCCCATTATACCTGCGATACAATGGCGAGAAGTAGTTGGCAGTCCGGATGTAGGTAGTTTTAACGCCATACACGGCAGATAGATATGAGCGTACGTCGGTTTTCGTGACAGACATTGGAACTCGAAAAGTGGCTTCGTAGGGGTTATATGGCTTGCCAGTAGGCGTGTGGTTGCGCACCATGCGAAACATGATGTTCGGGAGATAAATTCTCTGACCGACCACCTGCAATTCTTTCTCTCCATGATTGTCTGTGACTTTCAGACCGCGAAGACGCGTTCGCCGTTCATTGAGAGCGTCAAGCCATTCAGCTTCCGTCATATCTCTCCCTCGCTGATCCATCAGCTCGCCTTTGGCAAGGGCTCTTCTGTAGCCCGAATATTCTGACGGGGTGAGGTCGCTGTTGGTAGGAGGTTTAAGGTGGGCCCGTTTGCGTTCGCGGCGTTCACGAACGGCCATTGGGGCTGAGGCATCTCTGGCAGCGGCTGCAAGATTTGGCAAGGCGCTGGCAGCCCGTTCTGGCGGTTGCGTCGAGTAGAGACGACGGGCTACGCGACACAGAGCTTGCATTCGCGAAAAATATGAACGGAAAAGAAAGCTTCTTCGGAAATCCAAAATGAAGAATTTGTGACTTGACCCCAATTATTTGCTCGATTTGGATATGTGACCCCCTTCGTTGAACACGCAGCCCTCAGTGCTCAAGCGCTCACGGTACGACAGCTCCTGGTCATCACTTTCCTATAGCTATAGGTAATCTGTTCGCTAATTCTTTTAAATCCACTGACCGTGGTCGCTCACTTATCCAGAACTCGACGGGCCATAATGGCTGCGTTTTCATTTTCTCGCGTTGGCCGATCTATGAGGGGCATATTGCTCCCCACAGCAGCTGTCATTGGCTTCTCATGCCTCCTGACATACTTCTTTGTATTATACCAGCCCACCGTCGGACCCGGCATTGTCCAGCGTCTAGGCTGGCAAGCTTGGGATGCGGTCGCCACAGTTGACTACTTTGATAAGGAACCTTCTACGCCAACAGTCACTGGCGACCCAGCGGATGGCCAACCAATTCCAGTCAACGATGATGAGACAGATTGGTGGGAAACCACAAACAATCAGCCCTGGAGTACTACCGATGATATAGAGAGTTATCCCCTTGACGTATGGGCTCCCTTGTTACCTCACGATACCGGTCGTATGTATGCTCGCCAATTTTGTCAGGGACTTAATTCAGTTTCATATTTACAGTGTCTGAAATTGCTATCACGCGTTGTATGATGTCACCGAGCCTTGTCGGAAACCTCTGTGCACCCACGACAACCGTCGAGCAGGATGCCATCAAGGGTAACTGGGTTCGAGTGGACCGGGATCTCAACAAGCAAGCTGGTCTCTGGAATTTGGTACGCACGCACCACTATTTTATGTTACGTATTCCATGACTCACCAAATTCACCTTAGAACATCTACTACAGACGGACGCGCCGTCTTGACATACCTCTCATTACCGACTTGCGCCTCCTTCCTGCCAATGAAATTCCTGAACCTCTATCAGATTCCTGGGTAAAAGTAGATCTCTCCATACGCGATGGCGTTATGCGTGCGGAACCAATGTACCTCTGGTACCTCCAGGGCAAAACGATGAATGAAATGAATGCGGACGAGAAAGCCAGTCTCATTACCGAAGTCGACATACTCTTTGGAGAGGATAGGCCTTGGTACGGATTTGAGAAAATAGAGCCTGCCGTAACTCCGGAAAAGGAAGGGCAACTAGAGAGCGTGTATGTGACATACCGCCGCGGCGTGCAGTGTGAGCATGAACAGCCTTTATGCCGATAGTGGACTGACTTTGGTCTGCAGCGGTCCCTCGCGCTCATCCTTTACACTTCTCGCGGGACGGAAAATTCAAGATTTTGCAAGTTGCAGACCTGCATTTTTCTGTTTCTAGGGGCATCTGTCGGGAAACCGACATTGATCCCTGCATCAACTCCGATA